TCCAGCTTTTCATCCACCAGGACCCCCAAGTCCTTCTTGGCAGGGCTGCTCTCATAACTTGATATTCATATTTTTTAGGAAACTAGTATTTGTATCTTGAGAAATATTAGTTAATTTATCACACTTGCTACCTCAGAATAAATTGGAATATAACTCTTCAGCATTGAATTTATCCATGGCGAGTTTCTTTCATATAAATTGGTTGACTTGAATCCGTGTTATAACCATATTGTCATTACTCTTTATATCCATTCTTGAAGATTTTATCATCCGTACTAAAATTTTGATACCAGTTATTTTTAAGAATATTCATACTGCAAAGGAGATTAGAATAATATTTACAAAGCATTACAACTTTTTAAAGAACAGTATTGCTTTAGGCATAATAAAGACCTTGCTTTTTTTATTCAGTTAAAACATTTAATCTCTAAACTATCAAGTTAAGTCCATATGTCTATTACCACTGTGCTGTAAAAATAAAAACGAAAAGTGAAATTCTCTTTTGCTGGATACAATGCATACTGAAAATGCCAAAAATTGGGGATTGCAGTTGGCTTTAGTTTCGTCTTACACATGGAAGTAGTAAGACTTCAATAAAGTGTGTCCAGTTGGATTAGATGGTTAGTTTCCATATTGTTATTCCATCCTTGCTGTGACGTCTCTCATCACAGAAATAAGGTGAATAAAAGTACATAGGTTATTTTAAAAGTTAACTGTCACAAACACTTCATGGTGATGTACACTTCAAGGAAAAAGAGTACAAATGTAAATGATGGCTTGCATTCATGAACTATAGGAGAAAACTATATTGAACAGTTTTCTTTTTGCATATGAGAGATTGAAAGGAGCATTTGGAGAGCTTATTAAATAAGATTTGTTCTGTGTCAAATACAGAATGTTTTAAAGGGACACATTATTGCATTAAGTAGTCATTTACTCTGATTTCTCAAACACATAAAACTAAGAACAGGATGAAGTGGTGTAGTTAAAACTCTACGTGATATGACTTTGCCCTTTGTACTGATGTTTCATATGTGATCTCAACGGGTATTCTGAAGTTGAGATCATATATGAGCAACATATGAGGGGATAAATTCAATACAGGTACAGTTCATATTGATTATGTTCTGTATAAAAGCTTGCAAAACTGTCACGTTCAGCAGAGAGGGGACTAAAATTTTGCTTAAGGCGTACGGTTGGAGCACAGTTTGAGAAGCCTTGGAGAAGGGCCCACTGAGATGTCACTTCCAAAATAATGAGGCATTGGGTGTGGAAATCATCAGTACATTAATCACTTGTAATATAAAAGAATGTAAATCCAGTATTTGTGTCCCTGTTTAAAAAAAAAAAGGGAAAAAGAAAAAGGGAAAAAGAGAGAAACAGGATGTTTTCAAAGAGGGATGAGAGGGAGTAAAAAGGGGAACGGGAGTAGATTATCTTAAGTTGTGTGATAAAAAGCTTATCTCCACACACACACACATACACATGCAAAGGAGCCCAGAGGCACAGCAGCAGGCAGGGGAACCCCAATAACCCAGTCTGGGAAATGGAGCCCCTGACTCGGTTCCTGCCAGGTCTGTCCCCAGCCTCAGCCCTGTGGGCCAGGACAGGGACACCCAGCACCAGGAGTCAGGGACACTCTGGACTACTCTGAAGGCTAAGGCGGGGTTGCTGCCTGCCAGAGTTTGGGACTTATGGGATGCAGGGAGGAGCATTTTGGAATCATGCAAGACTTATGAGATGTTCAGAGGAGGAACCAAAGGTGGGGAGAGGTGGTGACCAAGGTGGGTTTGGGGAGGAATAGATATAGGAAAATTGAGAGATAAGGGGATAAAAAGGACTGGCTGCATATAAACAGGCCGGTTGGTATGACTGGCCATGCCCTGTGCCTGATCAGCATGATGTGTCCTGTTTTCTCATTAAACTCCGTTTCTAACTATTTTCCTGGGTGAGACTTTTTCTATTCTGTGTGCATGTGTGTGTGTATGGAGGCCTCAGTGCCAGCCACTGGAGTCAGAGCATGGGTCATGGGGGCCAGTGGGCTCGGGGCTTTTTAACATTAGAGGCTATTCTGCTTAATTTCTGGTACATTTGGGTCCAATAAATAGCAACTGCTTGACCGCAAGAGTTTGTCTGCACTGAATTGGCATAGTACAATATGTAATGTTCTTTCTTGTTATTCAAGTCACCTTTCTTGTCCTTCTTTATCCAAACTCTTTTACAAAACCTATACTACTGTTCTAAGAAGGGAAGGCAATTTGGTGAAGAATATATTTAGAAATTGGAAATTGAGGAGAGCAGAATTAAGATCGCTGGGGAAATTTATAGGTTGTTGTTGAAGACGTGCTTGTTGGGAAAGGATTAGGATGTGTGCACTGACTAGTGGCTTGATTTTTCATTTCCTGGTTTTTAGGGCTTGTACATCCAATGTGTTGTACCATTCCTGCTTTCTATAGAACTAGATGGGGGGAAGGTTGTATTATGGTTAAAATAATATGGTGGTTACTATTTTCTGAAAGGACGGAAATAAATGTAGGGAATTAGCACATACCATCTGACACTGACCTTGCAGCTACAGAAAATGTATGTCACAGGAAGGTCTTGGTGGTTTCTACCTATTCTCTACAAATAATAGTTAAGTTACTGAAAAATAGAAAATGCTTACTAAATTTGAATGTTTTCATTTAAGGAATTTAAAATTTCATTTAGGAATGTTGATCTTTGTGTACATCAATAACATAACAGCATACACCATGAAAATGTATGTTGTTATTAAAATACAAGAAATGCACGTGACTAAAGAAAGGTGTTAGCTGGCCTGGTAAAG